CCACACCCACACCCACACCGACACACCCACACCCACACCCACACCCATACCCACACCCACACCCATTTTAATGGAATGCATTTAATTTCATAATTTTGTAGTGCTTAGTTTTTTCGATCAAAATATCATTTTGTGAATGTAGTTGTCGAACAAAACTGTTCAAATGCTACAGTATTGTCTTTCATTTGTTGCGCAAATTTTGAATATACGTCCAATTGCTCTTTAGTATATTTATATTTTTCAGTAAAATAATTAGCAATCGTTTCCCGTTTAGATTTCGCTTTTTCTGGATTTTGAAATTCATCAAATGTTTTCATTTCTGTCTCTGTTCGAGAGGCACCATCAGCTAATTGTAGCATACGAAATTGATCAAAATATGTATATGATGTACGATGTGGGATGAAGTCAACAACCGAATGTTCGGTAGAAAATATTTGAGATAAGCCACCAAATAGTTGAATTTTTTCTGTACATTTTCCGTATGTGTGATCTTCATGTAACCATATCTTATTCACTGAAGATTGTCTAATCGGTTGTTCAACTATTGACTGCAAAGGCGAATACATTTTTCCATAATTAAATCTTCTAGAAGTTCTTGGTGACAAAACTGAATGAACAGCAGAATTTGAAATTTTATAACTATTTGGAGGCATTTTAAAAGAAGGTTTATTCTCATCATCGAATTCTCTTTCAGTTGCAAATAACCATAAGTGCGGTTTGTGAATATTGTCTAATTTTCTCAGCCATCGTTCTTCGAGAAAATTCAATTTTCCTTAAAAATATGAGAAGAGTTTAGTTCCAAAGATAAGTTATATTCATCAAGTATAGATGAAAATGATGAAATTTTTCTTTACGATTAGCTACGATAACAATCGATAATTACAGAAATTTACATATTCATTAACATTCGTATGTGAATAAAACTTCGTACTGAATTTCGCATAAATTTGATAAAATACTTTCTACATTTTAGATGTGCTATAACAAAATTTATTGATATACGATAGCCAGTTTCTATTAATGTGTGTAGTATGAATGGAATGTGTGCGAATGCCAGCCTTTTATATACTGTGATTCCCTAAACTGAAACTCATAATCCCATTCCACATCACTGGACTTGATGGATGAAAACAGTCTGCCGTTTGAGACACACGACAATAACAATTAAAAAGAAGACTTAATCTGAAAATGAATGCGTTGAATGTAATATCGCTTCCTGTATATTCAACTGTTGTCCAGATTCTTATATTTTGAAATACTTTGAGGTATTTATGTTTTACATTGACGGAAATAAATACATACTCATTGAACTATGAGGAACTTTGCCTTTTTCATACAGGTACTCTGTCCTTAGAGATTCAGTGAAATTGGACAAATAACAGAAATCCAACATCAAAAAGTGAACCTTTTATGTCCTGACTTTGTCATTCTTTTTCGTAATTTCAGAGAACTTGTTTTTTTTATTTTTGATAATTCGTGAAACTAAAATATTAACGCATTTTACGTTGAAGCCAAGAGCTTGAGAAGTAGATGTGATTTGGTAACAAAAGTCAAATACCCATTATTTCGACACATGGTCAGGCGCTGGGTATAGCTATCTGGGTTCAGTTCGGTTCTGAATGCAACGACGAAGGACATCAATTTTGAAAAAGAATCATTAAACCTGATTAATTTTGAAAACTTATTTCAAACAGTCTTTTGAATGACAAGCGTTGTCTCAACTCAGATGATCTCAAAATATTTCTCATTATATAATCGAAAAACAAGGTAATATGATTTTTTGTAATAGGGTGAGAAACTTTGTCAATGGTGGATGAATATTTCATTTCCGTAACATCCACTAAAAGTGCAAAAACTTTCAAGGAAATATCAGTTATATTACTACACAGTTACTGAGAGTTGTAGTTAAATATTTATCTATTTTCAGGAGTTCATTGATGTCATAATCATGCATAAGGCACGTAATCATTTGAACTATTACCATAAAACGAAATAGAGTAGACTATGTTTATTAGGATTTTATAATTTATATCAATAAACTTACGTTTAAAAACGCTGGCGTTCACACAACTATTTGAAGCACTTTCTGATTTAGATATATTAATAGATTGGTTTTGTAATTTTCCTTTTGAACTCATGATTTCTGGAAGCTTTGGTTTAGATGACTTTTGAATAGCTGTGTTTTCAATAAATGATTTTTGTTCATCTGTTAACATTCTTCGAAAATCATCAGAATTTTGTATACTACAACTGACTCTTCGTTGTAAAAGAGAAGTAAAACCAGGCTTTGTGTAACGTAACTAATTATAAATAAATTTTTATTAAATATGAAAATCAAATTCATAGTCAATTATCTTACCAATTCAAGTAACAATCGCCCATATTCTAAGTCGAAATAGTTCTCCGAACCAAATGATTGAAAAAATAGTTTTCCTTCGAATAGATCATTATCCCAACCAAGTAATGGTATATTTTCAATCTTAACGAGAAAAACTTTTTTATCTGTTTGAAAAGCATATTTAGCTTCTAGTATACATGACAAATTATTATAATAATTTTCACTAATACATAAGATGATACAATCGGATTTTTCCATTTGAGAATATAGATCCGACTGTTTATCAGCTGAATTTAAATCTGTACTAATCGAAAAACCCTCCTCAGTTAATCGATTAATTAAACGTCGGCATTTTCTTTGATCTTTTTGACTGTAACTAATCACAATATTATATAATTTAGCCATTGCAATGCCAGTTTTACTAATATCTGACCGTACTGAAAAAGAAACGGCTGAACTCGGACGTTCCATAGTCAACGTGTGATTTGTAGTTCGTTTTATTAATTCAGACAATAGATGAAATTTCTTCTTAATTGCTGCAATACCATGCGGTGAACCACTTAATTCTATTTCAATTTTTTCTTCGGTTAATTTAGGTAAAACCCATCTATCTTTACAATATTTAAAAAAGCTATTGATTGTATGTTGATCCCAAAATTGAAAGATATCATTAGGACATGTAAGTTTTACTTTAGAAACGCATCGTGAAAGATATTTATTTATTCTGTCTTGACATTTAGTTACATCGTCTTCATCGGGTCCAAACAACATTATTTCAATGACTATAATAAATAAATAACAAGCAGTTACCTATGTGCTTAGTATTCAAAAGATATTTTTATTTTTTTCAGAACTATGAACATGTCTTATAAATTTTCTCTTAAGTTTTAAAATCAAGAAACATAACATTTTGGTCTTAACTAAAAAATCTTACCTTTTCACAGAGAGAAAAAGAATCAATCAAAGAAAATTTTCGTAGAAATTTCTTTATAAACATAAAACTTGTACATATTTCTATTAGTGATAAAAGTATCAGTTCAGATCGTTGTGGAAATACATAATCATTTTTACTCTATTTTTTATGCTGTTCTTCACCTATTCATTAAAAAGAAGTCCTTTTTGTTGAAACCAATTATAATGGTACTTGACAAGGAGTGTCTCTATGAAATTTTTCATGAATATAAACTTTGAATATGTTTCTATGATTGATAAAAAAAAATTAATCCTGTGTCTCAGCAGCATAGAAGATCTTCTGTTGCTCTGCCGTAAAGATATTTATGACGCACACCGTTTAACTCAATAAGCTGACTAACATTGATATTGATGTTTCATTTTTGAAGTAATAATTCTGTCATTTCATATTTTTATATTGATCCTATGATAAATATGTGATGAATTAATGCATGAAAAGATTTGCTGAAGTTCCTTTCCACCAATGAAATTTTACAGACATTCTTTCGAAAATTATGGAGTAGAGTATTTCGAGTGAAAATTAAGAGTTTTTTCGACACCATGAACACTACTTGAAATATATATAATCCACTAGCCAATGAATATAAAAAGTCTAAAAAAGATATTGCATACTTTTAGTAGACCTATTTATTACCAAATAGAGAGTTTCATTGAGATAAATGAAATAGACTTCAATTAGGTTTTGTATAAATTTTGAAAAAACAGATGATTCTATTTTTATAGTAACTGTAATGCTAAATCACTATCCTTTTGCTACACTTTTCAAAAAAGATTAACGACTGACATCTTACTTGTAGAAGGATGATCAAAGTAAATAAAAGCGTCTTCCGTAGTTGGAAAAAGATTTGAGAATTGTTCGTATAAAGGTTCTTGTTCAGGTAAACAAACGAATGAAATTTTTAATTCTAATTGATTTGTTGCTAATTGTCGTTTGACTTCGGTTATCATTTCTTCTGCTAAAATACTTTCATTCGTACATGTATCTGGTACAGCAAATGCTATTGATTTCGTATTTTGATGTTGAATTGTATATTGAATACATTTTGAAACAAATGTTTGTATTGATAACCGTAAAACACCATCATTACTTATTAATAATGTAGGCAACCAATTAGAAAATAAAACACGTTTACAATTTAATTTGCCTCCATTGATTTCGGTATACATTGTACCATCGATTTCTAGATGAGTTATTTCATTATCTATTTCACCTAATCGTTCAATAACACCTTCTTTTAAACCATTGTATGTCGTTGAAATAATAATTGTATCAACCTAAAAAAAACAATTGAAAATATATGATTTTACTTTTCGAATTGAACGATTTTTATAGAACAAACGTTTTGTAAAGCTATGTCTCCTGTACGAAGTTCAATGGATCCATTTGCTACAGTCATTCTTTTGAATACATTAGTTGATGAACAAAATAATTTTGATTGTTCTATTATTGATTTTGATACTTGCTTTTTGGTTATCGATGCTGTTGGTACAGGATATGATTGACAATTATGTTTTAATTCAGTTTTAATATAACAACGACAACGTTCGGCGATATTATTTAAATATTGTTCTTCTTTTATAGCTATGTCTTTAAATAATTCAATAGTTTGAAAAGTTTTAGCTGTCGATGACTCAGATAAAATTTCTTCAATGTTAGATTCGATATCCTCTTTTAAATGTTGAGGTGCTGAAAATTCATGTGACTCTAATCGTAGTTGTACACCGTAATCTTGATACCATCTTTCAAGTTTTTGCAGTGGATTTCGATGACATGCAACAAATGATTCAATCTTTTTTAAGTTCAAATAAACAAGAATATCAAAATAATAAAATAAAATGCACTTACTTGATATTTATGTTTCGGATTTAATTTGTATGGAATTAAAGTATATTTTTCAGTAAGATTTAAAATTTTTCTCTTTATTTCAGTTACTTTTTCACAATAACCATACAGAATAATTTCTTGCTGTTTAGCTTGAGAAGAGGATTTATTGAATTTAACTATCACTTCCTCATCTTCCTCATCTCCGTCGTCTCCCTCATCTTCCTCATTTTCTGTATCTTCCTTATTTTGATTATCTTCCTCTTCTCCATTTATTATTTTTTCTAATTCTTCTGCCATTTTCGAAGATTGTGCGAATGAAGTCGGTAACGGTATTATTTCTTGTATGATTTCATTTTCAATGAAATACATTAATTTTTCAGCATTAACAGTACTAAATGGTCTTTTAGGTAAATAATAAACATTTAATCCATTAGTTCTAAGTGTGAAAATTGATATAACGTCATCAAATTCTTTATTGAAAAGTGTTTGAAGAAGATTAAGTCTTCTTCCAGTCATTTTGTACGACTGAAGCCATTCGACAACTAAAAAAAAAAACAAAAAAAGACAGTCTCAATATAAATTCAAAATACAGGAGTGTGAGGGTGTGGATGCCCATGTAGCCGAAAATACCTAAATAATGGAAAAACAATGCATTACTATCCATTATTTTGTGAAAAATGTAAAATAATTAATGTTAATGCATTATTTTTCGAAGTTTCAATGCAATTTAATGCATTTTTCACATATAATGCCATAATGATAGATAATGCATTGGAAACCAATTCGTTGCCATGCATTTTAGGAACTAGCGAGCATTCGTGCATACTACATGGACAGTTTCTCTTTTAACGTATGACTTCAGATACTTAACTTTTCATCCAATAACAGACATACAGATACACGATACTATGTACATATAGATCAATACTACAGGATCTCATGCTTTTACCTCCATTGGCTAGTCTCTCATTCCAGTTCTTTTTTTCGCAAAGCTCTCTCTACTGCTATAAGGAAAAAACATGGTTTTGTTAGGGTCATTTAAAGGAGCACCTGAATGACCAGTATTCGTCCTATACAACATCATGTGTTGTCCTTATTATAGCAGAGAAAATCTGGCCAAAAAAAAGAATATAGAGAAAGACTTTTCTCACCGGTGTATATCCCACGGATGTTTTTAGTTCATGTAGCCTAATTTCTCTATAGCCTTATGCCCCTTGTACGTATTGTAGCCTTATTACTGTATTCTCTTATACTCTCCAGAACCTATGAGTACTCTACAGGACTACTCTTGAGGATACGTGGGTGCCCTCATATAATAGCCCTTGAGGGCGTATGGACACCTGCTTATAATAGTCCTTAACGGTCTATGGGTGCTTCCACAGGATAATCCATGAAGAGCTATGGCTGCCGTTATATAATACCCCCCCCCACTTTTAATGACAAGTGTTAGAAATTATAAGTCCCATTTTGAAGGCAGTAGCTTCCATTGTACAAGAGTTCGAATGTGAATAGTCATTGAAATCATGTTTAGGCTTAAGATATTCAGCTATACTACACACTTATATTCAGACCGACAGAAAAAATTACGAAAACATCTTGAATAGAAAATATATATTAATATTAACAATGACCATATCTTGTCCTGACATCAACAATTTTTATTTGTAAGAATGGTGCAGAAGTTTAACCTACTTGATTACAGCGGTGGCGAGTCGATCTTCCATCTTATATCTCTACGTATGCTTGAAAGTTTGCACTCTTATCCCGAATAACAAAAAATGTTGCTTTTACAAGATCATGAAGCTTTGTTGGAATTATCCTATTTACCTTTATCATTAGGTTCATATACTTTTAACTGCATTTTTTTAAGAAATTGGTTCAATAGATCATAAAACTTTTCTTGCACATTGGGTCTCTCTTTATATTCACCGATTAATTGAATTCTGTAGAATAATTTTGTTGTAGACCAGCTAATTTGGATTGGTGGTTTCTCTAAACCAATTTCGATATCAACAGAAAGCGATTTTGAAAAAAATTCTTTTAAGCATTCATCAACTTGTGTCTTGGAAAAAAATTCGGTTTGAATATCATCTGTAATCCAATAATCAATAACGCCTTCCTTCGCAGATGATGCTCCCATTACTTAACAAAATGATACAGTATAATACAACTTTGGCGAATCTTAACTTAACACTTTTTTTTAATCTAAAGCAGAAGTGGCATTTAATGAAAGTCCCTTTCCAACATTGTAACAAGGGGCAAAAAAAAACACTTTCAAAACAAGCACTTATTACTGTTTGTGAAGTCTACTTTCTAATAAAAGAGAAAGGAAAAAAGCAAGCAATAGATCGCAAATCACAATCAAAAGGTGAAGAGAAAAAGAAAAATCACTGATTTTTCTTGCGAGTTTCTGTTTAAAGAAGACAAGAAAAAAACCAAGTGAGGAATGAAAAATAATAACTATCAACATCATAAAAGAAGCAAAGAGAAATGTAGGAAAAAACCATGAGCCAATAGTATATTTTTCATGACTGCACATATTTACAAGAAAATATTTTCGAGAAAACTATTCGTAATCCCATTACAAAACATCAAAAGAAAGTATCATTACCTATGAAGAAATACTTTTCTCGCTGAAAAATTAATTTTGTTTTCAGATGCGAAATGTTTACTTTTTTCAACTTTTAAAAAGAAAAACAAAATTTACTTTTCTCCGAAAAAAAAGAAATGTTGAAACTTTGTCCTTTTTTTTATTTTGTTACATATCGAAAGATTGAGCAAGACTTTTCATGCTGATGCCAAGGAAAAAAGATAAAAACGTCAAAAACAAAATGAAAAGTAAGTAGAAGAAAGGTTAATCCATTATCTTATTTTGAAGTAAAGTATTTTTAGAAGCGTCATTCAATGTCGAAAAAATATTAGCGATTTCTTTTGTCCAAACAACCGTCATTTTCACTTGTCAGAGATTCCGGACTATCAAGGTTACGATCTGATTCCATTGATTCTTCCTTTGTTGGACGTGCAATTTGGATGTAGTTATAGGTAAAGCAGGAAAACAAACACACCCACACCCTAGTGTGCATGTGGGATACGAGTAAAGATGCAGCTATAGGTGACGATACAGGCGTGACATGCGTCTCCAGCTCCTGGTGTGAGATAACAGTATTGTTGTAGCTACACGATGTCCACCACTATTTGATTCTGGCTGAGACAAGGTATCGACCGTCGTAATATTTTTCACTATCGTACCACTTAACAACGCACTGCTGCACAGTTGAGACTACTGTTTTAGATTGTATCATACACCTCATACTTTAGCATAGTTACTTTTTTTCAAGCTAGTACCACATCTTGCCCACAACTCAGCGTCTCAGAAAAGCATTTGTAGCATAATATAGTATTTTTTTGACTTTCCTTTCCACAGCGTAAATCGATAACAATTACCATCAAATTTGAATCCGAAAAGATATGAAAACAGGGAAAATAGCACTAACAATCACATTTAAAGTATAAACCCGAAACAGGCCAATACCGCCAGCATCCGTCATATATGCACTAACCCACGACATCGTAATGCAGGCATCGAAGAAACACACAACAACAAAAATCATTCTTCCAGTTTTCTCACCAATAGACGAATTTTCAATACCATGAGCCTTCGAAAGATGCTCTCTGTTCACTCGAACTCCTTAACTCTATAACACATACTTTCATTTTGTATGTCATTATCTTTTGGGGTAATGCCCCAAATTCACTGAAACTTGTTAACTTTCTTAATGCATAGTTCTATTTTATATGTCATCATCCTAGGGGTTATATCCCAAATTCACTAGGCAGAGACGGCGCAAAAGGGACTGGGGCAGGAGAATGGTACCTTCGAAAACGGAGAAAGGTGAAAAATTTTTCTGAAACATTACCCAAGTTTCTCTAAAAAGCAAAACTAAAGACCATTGTCTTTTTTAATCTTCACTTCGATTTTCCATAAGCCCATATACCAGGTCTTATTTTTGGAGTTCAAAGCTGAACTCACATACAGGAGAACACATTCTGAAATCGAAGAGCGATACCTCCAAAATCAGAGACTCATAAGTCCAAAACCGAAGACACGTAAGCCCAAAATCGGAGTATTTTAGTCATTTTTCTTCAAAATCAGGAAAAGGTGAACTCCCTGTCTGCCACTGGTCGCGCCATCCCTAGATAACAGAAGCATCTGGTTATAATACTGATTTATTGCTTAAATACTAATTGAGATTATTGAAGTAGTTCAAAAAATCTCAAGAATAGAGAAAAAATAGTAAAATAGTTTTTTCAATCGTAGAGTTTTGTCAAATTTAGGGTAAATTCTCTACTGTATTTCTCCATGATTGGAGTAAATTGTACACTGTAATTCTCCGAAATAGGAGGAAATTCCCGAATAATCCCTCAAATTCGGAGAAAATTCCAACCAAAATCTCCTGAACTAGGAGGGATGACTCCCTATCCCCCTGGTCCCGTCGTTCCTGTAACTAGGTAAGCGAATACCCCTTTATTGAATAACCTATAGCTATTTTATAGGAAAATGCGGATACCGAGTGTAATGGTATTATGATATCACTCGTTCTTTTAATCTCAACAAAGATTATTTAATAGCTATGCTCTGATTTAATGCAATTTGGCGTCTATATTTTCTCACCTATTTTCAGATTATTGAATTTTGCACTGTAGATCAATTGAATTTTATTGAAATGAGTAAGGAAGATAATCATGGGTCTTATACAAAAACCTTTATGCTTTCCAATGAAAAAATCAAAACTAATGTAAAGTTTTTTAATAATCCATTATTTCGCACGCATTTAAAACAATATGCGTCAAAGATGTACAATATTGAATGTCAAATACAATTAACAGAAAAACAAGAAATTTCCTTGACTTTAACTGGCATTAAAAAAAATGTAAAAACAGTTCGTGAAATTATTACAAACTTATTTGAATCAACACAAATAAAAATTTATGATAAAGAAAACATTGATCAACCAAGTAAATCATTCAATTTCAAATTTTGATGTTTTCTTTTTCATACATTTATCTTTCAGTGATTTATTGGTCAAAAACTATTAGATCAGATTTAATAATACTTGTTATACAACAAATAATGGATCATCACAATATTTTTACTCTATGGGAAAAAACAGCCATGTTTTCAGGTTACTTTAAAGTAGTTTACTTAACTCATGAATCTTTTCTTGTATCTGAAACGAAGATTACAGAAATTTTACGTAATGAAATAGCCTATGTTGAAGATATGGTGATGCCTTGTGAAAAAACTAAAAATTTTTTGAACGATATTGATCAATTCATTCTGGCTAGACAAGATCCGGAACTGGCTATTATTCGTTGTAAATATCCATATAAATTAGATATTAAAATTAGTTTATTTGGACGAAAAAGTGTAGTTAAAAAAGCTAAAAAACAATTACAATCGATCATAAATAAACATACAATAAAAATATTTCCATTAAGAATAACTACAAATCAAGTAAATATATAATTTTTTAAGTCGTTAAAATACACAACAGTATTTCTTTTTGTGTATCATTTAGCAAGATTATCTATTAGAAAATTGCACTGAACAATTAAAAGATTTAGAACATGAATATAAAGATGATTGTCTTAGAATCCGAATACGAGACAAAGAATTTAGTGCACCACAATATTTAATTGATCGTATTCAAGAAAAAATTAAAAGACTTTTCATACAAACATCTACTTTCCAATATCAAAAACTAGGAGATTCTTTACAAATCACTGATGAAAATTATAAGAAACTCAATCAAATTGCACAGTATAATTATTGTCAAATAGAAAAAATTGAAACAAAAGCTGAAATGAAAGCTTACTCTGTTCCAAAAGCATTATCACCAACATTGAACATATCGAGTTCAATTATTGAACAATCCAATGAATTTATTTCTTCATTGTCAATGAGAAAAATAGCAATATTAAATGGTTCCATCGAAATTTATTTAGCAAATGAAACAAGTTCTATACTGGTAAGACAAATATTTTTATCGCGTTATTCAGATGATTTTACTCATAGGTATTATAGAAGAATGCTCGAGTCTGAGCTGTTCGACTTGGGTCTTGATAAAAAATATCAATCTCTTTCAAAGCATTTCAATATTGATTTTCTAAATTTTCTCTTCTCGTGCGTACAGTATAATGGGTGGGTGTGGTTCAGACTTTGAATCGGACTGATCGGTCTGTCGGTTACCGGTTCGGTCCGGTCTTCACCGGTTTTTTAAAAGTTTTTGGCAACTAAGACCGACTTATTTTGCTCATTTTTAAGGAGTCTCATGGGGTCAATGGTGAAGAGATTTAATCTGGAAAGTTTTCCACGGGTAAAACTTCAATCGTATTGGAAATTCTAGCTCTAAATATTGACCAACATTTTGTTATCCTTTCATCAGACGCTCATATTATGTCGAATACATTCATTATATTCACGAAAAGTTAGCCGGATTTTACAAGTTTCTGTCTATTTAAATTCAACATTTTTCTTGAAATTTCGAACTACTCATATGCAGTAATCTTAGCTGATTTTTATAGAAACTCAATAGCCACTAGTATTCAAGTTCATGCTTTCATAGCGAAATGTTTTGAATAAAATTGTTTCTGTTGTCATGGTCTTTCTATTTAATAGCATCATGCAACCGCGATAATATTTAGGTATCAAAAAACCTCAAATAGGATGTCTAATGTAAAAAACTTACAGATAGAGGTGTAAGCCGTGCGGCTGAGCCGCCGTCGCCGCCGACAGACTCAAAAAATTTTAAGCCGCCGCCGCCGTGACAGTAGCAATTTTGGAAATTTTTAAGCCGTCGCCGCTGAGACACTTTAATTGCAGCCGCCGCGTCGCCGATGGTATTCAAAATTTTAAAATTTTCGAGCCGCCGCCGCCGCTGGCAACTAGCATAAATAAACGTTTTATTTATATTTTCTTTAATTCGGTACTTTGACATCTTAGAATCCCAATAAATCTCTTCTTCATTATCTTCCTCGTCTTCAACTTCACTTTCGTGCTGGTTCTTTGACCAGTCAGGTGCTTGGGGTTCTAAATTGTAAGCAAACCCTTAATTCTGTGTTGGTTGAAAATTCTAAGTTATCATTTCAGTTGTTTATGTCTTTATATTAGATATTTTAATAAATACAAGAAGAGACGAGCATTTTAAATTTTGATTAACAAAAACAAAATAAAAACAACAAACTTGAATACGCTAAGTGCCTTTACTTATTAACAATCGTGGTGGTGATTTTTCATTTATTATTTACCCTAGCAATTATATTTATTTTTAATTTTAGACTTTTTTTTTTATTATGTCTAGATGTGAATTAAAGTTTTTCCATATATGTGTTTGAAGATAAAAAGGCCGAGATATTGAAATAGGCCTTGTCTACACTAAAAATTTTGATGGTAAATTAAGAAACATGATTGGTTAAACAGTTAATAAACATTTAAAACACTTTTATAAAGTGCATTAAATTTATTGCACTATTCAGAACCACATTAAAGTTGATGCACCAATCAAAGTCTGATTGGATTTTTCAATGAGCGATTCCTCTATGATTGAAGTGAACAAAAACTACGATTCATTTCAAAGTCAAGGATTCTGATTGATGCATTAACTGATAAATGTAGACACGAATTGATTTAATACGAATTGAATACTGCATTATCCTCATCGTGTAGACAAGGTTATAGACTAATTTATTTATGATAACGTAGTACTTTTTAAACTTCAAGCCGCCGCCGCTGAGACACTTTAATTACAGCCGCCGCGCCGCCGATGGTATTCGAAATTTTACAATTTTCGAGCCGCCGCCGCTGTGCAATCTTGAAATATCAAATCTGCGCCGCCGAGCATTTTAAAAAAATTTAAAAAAACTGGCGCCGCCGCCGATCAGCCTATCGGCTTACACCTCTACTTACAGATTAGCTCACATTATTTTTCTATCTGCAGTAGTATTCTTCTGTGGGCATTTCAGTTACATTAAGGAACTAAATATTTCAAATAAGAATAGATTAAACCTATCAATTGTACACAAAATTATATCTTTATTTGAAAAGACTCCGAGAATAGTTAGCTGGTGTACAATCCTACTTGCTGTGAGTCCTAGTTAAAACTTTTTGAAAGAAACCTTCATTGGTTCTGAGTATTAGCATACTAAACATGGCAGACTATAAAAGAAGTCACTGCTACAAGAAGCTCCTAGAATTCTATGAGTTTGATATTATATGTCTTAGTAGAACTAAACTAACAAACTGCTTCGCGAAAACATTGGTTATTTAGTTAATACATGAGTGCGTTGCTTTTTTCACCGGTCCAGGCAAGAATTTTGACCGGCCAGTCCCATTCGGTCTGACAAAATCAGACCGGTTTCAAGTCTGGTGTGATTGTGGATGTGGGTGTAAGTGTAGTTGTGAGTATCAGTGTTGGTAAAAAGAGAATCTACTAATCGACACTCACACATCACACCGACACCCTATATATTAATAGTACATTATGAAATCTACGGCTATATATGAACGAGATAGTATTTCTTTTAGTCAAAATAATTCGAGTATACTGAAGATTAGAATTATCTACTCTGAATATTGAATTTTAAAATGTAAAAGTTGATTTACTGTAGGATTACATTAATTCTATTCAAAATCAGCGTTTTCAAAAAGAAAAAAAAATACATGAGTTACACTAATCCGAGCTCACCATCACTTCATCAAATCATAGCAGTTTGAAAAAAAAATAGTCTCATTATGTTTTAAATTGAACGAATTAGAATTCCTGAAGAAAATGAATTGTTGAATTATATTAATATACGATCTATTTCAAGTATTTTAAAAGTTACGTTTGTTATATTTTATTGACATATAACAGGTTTAAAAAAATTATTGGAATAAATTATTTGATAGTATTTTTAAATAAAAACAATCTAAACGAAATTCCAGTGTTGAATTATATTGAAATACATCATATTTAAAAACTCGTCTTCATAAAAATAATTTGATAATAACCTTTATTGAAAGATTTAAAATTCTATACATAAGAAATTATTGCATTACATTGGTGCACGATTGATTTTAGACCCTCGCTCCGTCAGGAAAGTCGATTTTCGTCAAAAAAAATCATTTTTCAGATAAAACTATGAGCATGGTGCCTGAGTTGTCTAATATACAAATTCATAAAGATATTTTTGATTCTCAACGGTTTAATGGAGTTTTATGAATGATCTTTGGAACTACTGTTCGTTCCAAAATGCAAGGCTACCGTTTGCTTTTTGAATAAGGGTGTGGATGCTTTAGTACTCGGCTCACCAACACGCACCCATTCACACCCCCACCTAAGATTATGCGATACCCTGTACTATCATTATTTTTGATAACTTTCTTTTCTGTTTTTTCTCTTATCGGCATTATTTTATGTCTTTGATGCATACTTTTTGCCTAACTACGATGCATGAGAAACAGTATCTCTGTATCGTATGCAGTTGATCGGATACAAAATGATCATGCTTATTGTAGAATTTTAACTTCTAATCACACTTCGTCTCTATTATTTGGAATGTTTGATTTTCATTTCAGAGAGACGTTACAGTTATTTCATCTAGAGCAGCAGCTGTTCAAGAAGGTATTGAATATTTAAGTGATTATGGATATTCCGAAACGAAGACAGGGCGAAAATTTTTATTTTATAGTTGGTCACCAATTTTATCAAATGATGATAAAACAAATAAAAAGTTGATAAAATCTATTGAAAAATTCATATCTTCTACTTTACAAAATATCATAACATCTTTTGCTAATATAGAAACAGTAGCTTTTTTAACAAATGAATGGGAAAATGTTGGTATTCAACAACAAAGGCCATTAGCTAATAATTTAATCAATCAAGTTAAACAAGAAATTGAGACAAGAAAACTTAATTGGCGAATTTTATTTATTTTTAACAATCAACAAGCGAACTTTTACAAAGAATTCTGTCAAATCTTAATTGAATCACAAAGTGAACAAGATGGTTTTGCTCAATTCTCTGCTCCAATATCGAGTATGTTCTAAATGATTGTTTGATTTTTCTTCGACATAGAAAGTGACTCAGACCACGATAAGAGACAGGATGAACATTGCAATTTTCATTCTGTTGAAAGTAAATGTATATTCATTCACGTCAAAATTTATAAAACAAAAAAGAATTTTATTCTAACAATTCAAAACTTTTCTCGTTAATGATCAATGCCTATAAAAAACAAAACCTAAAGTTAATTTTAAGAAAATACCTACAACAAGCAGAGCTCAGAAGTACTATTAGTAGTCAAAAAAGTTTTCTCTAATGTGTTATTATTTTCAAATCACATAAAAGAGAACACTATTTAACTTCCTTATTCTATCAAGTGTGCTTGTCGATATGTTTTAATTCATTTTAGAATAGGAAAAAGATCATTCATCTGTAAATATAGATATGTAAACTATCAAGTCGAAATATATTTGTATGTTAAACATATGACATCATTTTTTCAACAGACTGTACATTGAAGATAGTAGAGTTAATAATATCAGTAAAACTAAATATTGATTGGTTTGAACTACCTGAACGATGATTGATAATCGTATCTGTCATTATGATGAGAGAAAATGCTATAACATGATCTTGTTTTGATAGAAATTTTTATCCTTCAAAATATTGTTATTCATATATTATTACAAAATGTTTAATAAAAGTGAATTGAAGAATGAGTGAAAAAGTTTCACAGCAGAAGAAATCTCTGACTTTATTATATGCATGAACTATCTATTTGAATGCATCCTTTCGAAACATACAAAATAATCATTTTTCGAAGAGTTTCCGATCAAGCTAGATGACCCAAGTGGCCATCGGATAGGCATTTCGAAGGATCGAAATAAGGTTATGGAGCCCATCGAAATACAAAACGTACTGTTCGGATTCTCACTTTCCGATGGGTCGAGGGCTCCGCGATGGGTAAGAAAATCATGAAGTTTTCGATCCCTCGAAATAATTTATCGGAGGGATCAACATAAAAAGTTTTGTTTTGAACATAGATATATAGATGTCTCATTTTCGAGTCATCGGAACCTATCGGATAATTGCAGAGACGAAGATTCGAACATAGGTACTTACGTTTTATGGTCGTTGAACATCTGAACTAAATATGAACTGTTTTTCTACTGTGAAAGTTATCAATTCAACTGTTATATAGATTGAATTTATGATTCATTTTAGAAGTTTCTATCGTCTTTTAGTATTTCATAAAAATATGGAATTACATCAAAATTAGCTTCTATAGCTTTGATTTTTAAATTTGACTCTATTCTTAAGTTCTAATAAAATGTGAATAGCTCATGGAATAACGGTGAGCGATGAATACATAATTTTTTTCAAGCAGCATACAGTCATTATTTTGCGAAACTGGCTCAGATACTACAGTTTTATAGATCCGAAATTTTCAGTGAGCATCTATACGCCGGTCTGACTTTTTCTAACTATTTAATATTGAATACTATTAAAAATCTCATGAAAATTAATGACAATATATGCCAAGCATTTGCTCTTTTCAAAAATCAGCTACATGAAATATAAATATGTAAATGCCTTTTTGAATGGGATTTTATGAAATAGATATTGATTTTAGGATTAGAAATCTATTTTACATAAAACTAGTTTGCGTTGGAGTACTCGATATGATTCCTTTGATGTAGTTATTTATCTCGAGTACTCCAAATTTCGATAGCTATCGACGCATCTGTAACTCTCCGATAAGTCGATCATGTCTTTTGGGTAGGATGATTTTCGAGTACTCGAAATCCGATGAGTTTCGATGGGCTCGAAATCGAAACAGAACGGACAAAAAACGTATATATGACATTTTCGAGGGCTTATCGTGGCCATCGCATGAATTTTTTTGTCTGGTTTGAGGACCTCAGAAAGAGAGTTATATAATGTTTTATAATATCTGAACATCGCTGAGTATAAGAAACTCATCATTCATAATAATTGTCACCTTCCTTGTTACTTTCATTAGTTACTGACACAGAAGTATGGTAGTGATAAAAATCATTTAAAAAATATTGTCTTATTATCATTCATATACATTATACGCTATAGTTTTAGATGATAAAAAAATAATAATGAAGGAATCGAGTTGTAAGAATGCTTATCTGTGTTTATCGAGTGTTATATTGAACATTTTAATTTCATAGAAATTAATTTGAAAGTTTTCTTTTAATAGTCATTCAAATTACAGTAGCAACAGCATCAAATTTCGATCGTGTTAAATGTGAAAACGAAATCAATAACTATGTTCAAAATTACATTACGGCAAATAAAACTTTAAGTAATGAACTGGATGTAAGACAATGGGATCAAAATATGATAAATGCTTTTTATAAGTATTGCTTGGATAAATCCATATTACCAAAAATAGATCTATTAGTTCATACACATATACATTTAACTGGTGCAATGTTATGTCTTAAAAAAACAATAGAAAAATATAAGTTAATGTCAGAAATTTTTAAACATAAATCATCATTACGAATTCCACCTCCAGTTATTCCTCGAACTTCGAAACCAACAAATGATCGTTCGAAGCAAATGAATCTCAATGCATATAATATTTATTTTTCTTGTTGTGAACAAGACCAAACTTTTTGTAATCGTATAACTTCATATTTAATTGGTGAAGGTTATTCTGTATGTGAAACGTCATCAAATTCATCACAATTTCAATCTTTTATAGATAAATGTGATGTTATATTAATTTCTTTCAATGAGAATTATTTCAAAAATAAATATTCTAATATGGAACTAAATTATGCGAAATTAAAAGGAAAACAATTACTTCCGTTTGTAATTCGATATAGTTCCGAAGAAAATCCTTGGCTTACTTCACTTACACTTGCTGAATTATTCTATGATGTTTTTAATACTGAAATTGATATTGAATTTAAAGATGATTTCGACCTTGAATATGATAAATTATTATCGAAATTGGTAAGCCTAATCATGCAAAAGATATTTCATTCAATAGAATAATATCTTCATGGAGTATAGTCGTTTTGTAAAACAAAAGTCTATATGGGTAAAAATTTTTCCAACTAAGCACTTTAATTTATTATTCAACTAATAACTATCCGGTTAATTAATGAACACTACAAATATGAGAGATTGAGTTCGAAGTCATTCCAGAGCAATATAGTCATTATTACAATAATTAAAATTTTTATGTCAAGAGAATATATGAACTACTTTGTTAACAATAGCTACATCATATTGCACATGTTCAACTTATAAAGATGACGTAAACAGTGTTTATTCTAAGAAAATCACATATGTTTTCAAAGAAAATAGTAGATAAAAGTATTGAAGTGAGTTTTTTGCGATTTCTCTCTGTTCATTACAGACATAAGAAACATGGTGCAAATATAAAAAAAGAAAGAATAAAATGTACCATGTGGCAATCGGAAAAGAAAAAAAAGTCATAGCTTTACTTTAATGATTGATCGATATGACAAAAGAACACCATTCTAAAGAAATTTTTCGTTTTACAAATTTTAATGAGTTTATCGAAAGTAAAAGAAAATACATGAGTTCTACATTTTAGCTCAAAAGGAACTACACTGGCAAGAATTTTCATATTCATTTTGTAGAAGTTATATATATTTTCGCCGAAAATAGTGAGTACAATTATAATATTCAACGTTTGCTGCTCTCGACTTTTGATTATAGACTTTAGCAATTAGCATTAGATGTTTATAATATGTCAGGCTTTATTTTCCATTTAGTTTGATGTTTATTTTAATAAATGTGTTAAACAGAAATACAAAAAATGAACAATAACAAACTTTTAGCCTTAAGGAATTACGCTAATAAGCCTTTCGGTTAAATGAGACATCCTAATCAAACAGTCATTCTAAGAAAGTATTGAATCAAGCTTATAATCTATTCTCTAGTGAAAGAAGGACATCGAGTAATCAATCGTCGTTGAATCTAGACTATATATGCGATATTGATATAAATGAATTATAAATACTATGAAGAGTATTTATTATCAAGAATTGTTACAAAAATAATATACTTTCACGGTGTGCTTCTAAAAGAGTACTGTGGCCCCCTTCAGAATCAACAGAAAAAAAAATAATTTCCGAATTTCGACCTGAAACTTTATACAGATGTAGATCGCATCGAGAATGAATTTTCCAACTAAGAATAGGAACAATAAAAAGGTTTGCAACATTCATAAAAAACTATTCTCGGTATGTTCTATTTCTATGTAAAGTTTCAGATCACCGTATCTGCGCAAGAATGGACTAGCGTGCCGAACATGGTTCGTAGTATTCGTAGCTCTTACATATCAATGTAATATAACATAGTCTCCATTCAAAAACGATTGATTTCTATAAAAATAAAAAAAAAAACAAATTTTACGAACTTGAATTTCTTAGAATGATAGAACTCATGATGTAAACAGGATAAATAAATATGAAACATTCGTATTTTACTTTCTCATCTCTAAAGAAAAGAATAGCTTATAATGATTACTGTTTTAGTTACGTTATACAAAACCTGGTGTGACAGGTAAAATCTATTCTGAAACAGCAGTTTTACCCAAACTTACAGAAAATAAAGAAGACAATGAAGAACGTGCATTTGGTAACAAATCAATTGCTCTACAAAAAGTTACTTCCGAACAACGTCACGAACGTGAAACATCATATCGAAAATATCTAACAAAAACAATCGAAAATGAAAAAATTCCAACTGATGAATTACGTGAATCCAACGAAGATTTAACAAAAGTCATTAATGATTTAGAACGAATTCTACGAGGAGAAGATCCATATACTGAACTACCTGTCGAATCATATGAATGGTATGGAAGACGAGAAGGAAATTTACCATTGGGTGAGTTATTAAAATAACTGATATGAACGTACATATGAAAATTTTCTTTTGTTATACATAGATGAATTGACATCCTATTATATTCGGGAATTTTTGAATTCTGTAAAACGATGGTTGAATAAATCAACAAATGCAATTCGAGGCAATATTATACCATTCACACCTACTGGAGATATAAATGATGCTATTTTCGTCATTGATCAACCATCTTATAGTAAATTGTTTGAAAAAAACTTTCTATCATTCGATCATTCACCTCCAAATCAATATTTCTCACCATTTAAATCGAATCCAGGATCATGTTTTAATCATGAAGAATCACAAGATTATTATCAAAAACTAATTCAATGTAGTAGACCAATAAATTCCATAGAAGCAATCATGGAAGATAATGATACTGCTTGGGATACAGTTTCTCTTTATCATACACCTATTGATGTTGATGAAGATGACATTGATATCGAACGAAAAACACTAGATGAAATAAAAAAATTAGAAAAACTTGATAATCCAAATCGAGTTTGGAAAAATACACGAAATGCTGAGAAATTTATTCAACAAAAAATAAAAAATATTCTTGAATTGAAAGAATTATGTGAAAAATCAACATAAATTTGTGTATTATTTCTTTTTAGATAAAAATAATTTAATGAATTCATTGTTAATTCAATATTCATTATTAATCTATCGTCTTCGTCGAGAGCATTTACTTGCTACAGTTACAGATATTAAATTATTCTTTGATAATGTTGTTTCTTATATAAAAGACTTTACTTATACAAGTGAAACAAATGATAGTTTAGATATTCTAACATTAATTAGTGATAATCTAGCAACTATAAACACTCTTCGATTATTTAATCATCCAGTTTTGATTAATCACCCAATATTTATTTATATTGGACGAACATTAGAAATGTTATTAATCAAATCCAATTATATAAAATCAATCCCAATGAAAAAATATGAAGAAGATTGCTTTTATTCAATAAGTTATTTTGTAACACAAATATGTTTATATGAAAATGAAATTACACAATCATTTTATGGTTCGATTTCAGATGAAATTATTCCTGTAACTGATAAAATAAATATACGTGATGAAACAATTAATGATGATAGTAGAAGATCCAATATTATTACAGATAAACCAAATTTAAAAGTTATTGGATTACTTCCAAATGCTCCTAAATCACGTCCGATTGAAGACGAACTATGCACTATAACAAAAGTAATACATCGAAAACATTTTTCAAATCAATTTATTGCACCAACAGTTAAAAAGATAATTGAATCACCAGTACCATCAATTCCATTAGAAGATTTACCATTAAAACAATATCGAGATATATTTTTAACTGAAGCATTTTTGAATAAATTTGTTCGTGCTATTGATGATTTAAGTGAAAATGAATATTCTCCATATCATGTAAAATATAAAGTTATCGATAGACTTGTTCGATTATGTTCAAAATTAAATATTGTTAATCCATTATTTAATTCTATTGTTAAATGTCTACGTTCAAAATTTTATCGACAAATTTTTACAACTATTCAATCTGAACAGTTTCGTTTCAGTCCAAAACAATTATTTTTTATTTATCGTTGTTCACAATTTATAATTCAACATAAATTTCAAGAACAAGAACAAATTCCTCATCTTTTGTGTGAAAATATGATTAATGTAACAAAACCAATTATTGAACAAATTTTAACAACAAATGGTAATTTTATTTCATTTTTTGAAATCAATAAAATACTATTAGAGAGATGTTCATAGTGAAGTAGTAGCGATAGATGATTCTTAACTCTTAAAAGCCGAAGTGTCTTTCGCTTATAAAAATGAGAATCTAATTAGAAAAACAGAGATTATGGACCCTCAGTATACTCGTACTATAGTTAAAAATAAGTACCTTCTCCTTATTCTGGACCTGCGCACCCTACTTTGGTAGGAATATTCATCCCCGTAAAATCCACAAAAAGGAGAAATTTTGATCTGAAACTTTGCCTGTAGATAGTTTTCATAATATCTAATATGCTCCAAAAATTTCCCTTAGAATGAATGCTTTCTAGCTGAGATATCCGAAATCCAAAAAGCAGCTAAAAATTGCTAAAAACTTCAATGTTCTGTATCTCGCGAAAGAAACAACCGTTGTTCCTGAAAATTTTGAAACTTTCTAAACACTACTAGTGCTATGTATGAGCTATGTTTCATGTTAGAAATACATTGTTTTGATTCTTTTATGAGACAGAATACCTGGCACAAAGAACATTTTATCGATAACGGCATAATCTGTCAGTAGATTGCTTAAAAGAATTCAGAATGCTGATATTGAATAGCTTGATGATATGCTTAAGAGTGTAATGTAAAATAAACTACAATGTATGCCACATTTCTGAATAGATACAACTTTAAGGAAGAAAGGTGTTATTGAAAAATGTCATCACTCCTAAAAGGTGTTTTGCTACGACTGACAGCCACCTGAATACTACATTTTGGTCTAGGTATGGTCTCAAAAGTCATTTGAATCCAGAAAAATATTGGTTTTTGTCTACAACGTATTTATAAGACTTTGATTAAAATTATTTAAATGTCCATTGGAATGGACATTCGTCTTTTTAAGGGTTAAACACAGTAGATATCTCTTACATTAAATATATAGTTGCTTTGCTGTTAAAAGAATATTAATAATTATCTTTAATGAAGATCAATATAGATGAGAATTAATTATTTATGTGCTTAGACTACTGGAGATATGCTATGGTAGAATAGTGCTAATGTGTTTTTGATATGTTTCTTTCGCGTGGAAACATAACT